AACCAACTGTGCGGGGGATTTCAATTTAATGTTCACCATTTTGTAGCGCTTTCTCTGTGCTATCTTACTTTTCCATTAAATTCATATTCCTTTTGAGGTTAGATTCTTTGCGCAACAATATACGATGATTTAACGACTTCAAAACTTTTCCAATGGGTTAATTGTGATAATGAAGTTGTTATTTCTGTTTTCTTTCCCTTAAAATAAAGTAACCCTGGTCTATAGCTTGGCATACATGGGTTCCAAGGTTTTTGGGAGAATAATTGAACGGTCACTGATGATACTAAAATTGCATTAATTGCATACTTGCGTTTGATTCTTTGATTGCTGGTGTGCTACTACTTGCAGTTCTTTTTTCTATGCATCTGTTTACTTTTCTGTGATTTAACTTTAAATAGGGTATGCGAATATTGGTTGTCATTGTGAACATGGGTTGTATTTTCATTTTGATTTCAGGATCTTCAAAAGGGAATTGATCTTGGTTTAGTATCTCCAGAGGTTTTGCAGAACTTCTTTGATCTAGAGCAGTATCCTCTGATTTCAGAACTCACTCACCGTTTCGGGGTAAATTTTTTATTTGAAAAATACTCTGCTTTTAATCATGAGAAAATTCATCACTTTGTTGCCTTTTCCTACCTTTTATCCGGTTCTTCTTTATATAGGGTTTCAGGGAAAGATTGTTGGCAGATCCCAAATTCTTGCACAGATTAGCCATAGAAGAAGCCATATCAATAACAACTACATTGTTGGCGCAATATGAAAAGCGGAAAGATAATTTTTTCCAAGAGCTTGACTACGTTATTACAGACACTATCAGAGGATCAGTAGTTGATTTTTTTACAGTGTGGCTCCCTGCACCAACTTTGTCATTCCTTTCATATGCTGATGAGATGAAAGCCCCTGACAACATTGGTTCTCTAATGGGACTTCTAGGTTCCATCCCGGACAATGCATTTCAAAAGAATCTTGCAGGAACAAACTGGAATCTCAATCATAGAATTGCATCAGTTGTATTTGGTGGGCTAAAACTTGCTAGTGTTGGATTTATTTCAAGCATTGGAGCCGTGGCTTCATCAAATTCTCTATATGGAATCCGTAAATTCCTTAATCCAGCCATTGTCACTGAGCAACGGGTTATAAGGTCACCAATACTGAAAACAGCTGTCATATATGCTTGCTTTCTTGGAATTTCTGCAAATCTCCGTTATCAGGTATGTAGTGGATATGTCTGCTGTATAAAATTTTGGTTATTGATATGTGACAAATGCAAGATTGAACCCAGTGTCTGTAGAAAATGAAAGATAGTTACTCCAATTAGTGTAAAACTTTCTCCTCTCTCCAAATTCTCTCTATATGGATGAGGATTTTGCCTCCCCTTTATTCTCCTCTCTATTCATCCAAATCTTTAAACCAAAAAAAGAAAGTATTATAAAATCTTTGCCTTCCTTCCCCTCCATTATTTTCCAACCAAGTACTATATTACTAAATACCCATATATATATATATATATATATATGATTTTGTAATTTTCTCTAATTCATCTGAGACTACATCCTTGTTATATTATATATTCTATATATACGTATCCATTTAAATTCTAATCTGTTCTGCATTAGTACGGAAATTACAATATTTTTTTGGCAGATAATTGCTGGGATAGTGGAGCATCGGATTTCTGAACAGTTTGCTTCCCAGACATTCTTTGTAAATATGCTTTCTTTTGTAGCACGGACTGTCAATTCCTATTGGGGAACCCAGGTCAGTCTGTTTTCCTATCTTTAATCTGCTTTTGTTCACTTTCAAATGCTGAATGTTCCCAACCTCGTCTTTTAGCGGATTTCAATTATTTATGATTGAAAACTAGACTTCCTAAATTTTAGTAATATTTATAAAGTCATTAAATATTCTTAATTTCACGGAATATAAGTCGTTTGTTTTCTAAAGTTAGTGAATGACCAATATTGCTCTTTGACTATAGTTAGTGAAACACCAAAATACAGAAAAAGAAAAAAAGAAAAGACAATGACATCTTTGGTTTTCTGAAGTGCCATAATTTGAACTGACTAAAACCTCGAGAGTACCATTAGCTTTTGTTCAATACATTAAAAACTATACATGAGATTAATATTCCTTATATTAAATATATTCTATTTATAATAAAAGAAATATAGACTAAGTTCAACATATAAATAAGAAATAATATTAAAGATAAAAATTAAAAATAAGATATTTATCTAAAATATTTAATAATCTAATATATCTAGTAGTTTTAAATTATTGGAGTATAATTCTTTATAATTCATTTTTATGTGATATATTTATCTGTACATCAATTTCTAAATTTGTACTGGAGTTTTCAAATTTGATGTTTTCATGAATTGCTGCAGCAATGGATTGACCTAGCGCGCTTTACTGGCCTGCAAGTTAGAAAGACAGAGTCGCCAACATCAGATTCTCCGAATAGTGCTGCAATTTTATGCAACGAAGCAGAAGAAGCCACCATTGATGAGATAGAAAAATAAAAGTGGTGACTATACGTTGCGACATTTTTTTCGTGGTAATTTGTATTATTCTTGAAAAGCTGGTAATACAGGCACAGAGGAATAGGTTATTGTTTTCATCATAATCTCTTTCTGTCTCTTGCTGATTAGCTTCTTACAATTCCTTCGACAGCTCACTTGTATACGTTTTGATGTTTCCCATTTCATAGTTTGGTGAATATAAAATTTTTCTTCATAAATGTAACAAGTGGAATAGATAGAAGGGACTCAAATCGAAACCAACACAAGTTGTTACCTACTCTTTGCTAAAGGTATTTATATGTCTTGTTAAGTCTTGTTAATATGGGATAAAAATTCAGGAGCACTTGTTTTGAACTCTCATGGAGTTTGACGTTTGTACACCTTTAGACTATCAATTTATCAAGGGTCAGTGAACTTTCGATATCTTTGCAGTAACCTTTGGCTTAGATTATTTCTGTACGTCAAGGAATACATACTCTGCGGATAGGTTGATTAGAAAGCCAAAAAGCTCATGTCAAGACCCCAGAGAATGTTCTAATTTGTTTATTTGGAAAGGAAGTGGTAGTGAAGATCTGGCTTAAAATTAAGGGAGTTGAAGTTGATAAAATGAAACACACTTGAGTTAAATGGTGACATTGAGGACTAAATATCTGTGTTTTAGCTTCATGAAATCACAGTGTATACTGGGAACAAGATCATCCCATATTTTTATAGCAAGATTGAACATATGCAAGTGTATTTGGTTTATTAGTTGACTTCATTTTGGTAACTGTAAAACTGAAATGGGAATAATTTATGACTGGAACAAGAGGAAACTTGATTGTTCGAGAATATATCTCATATAAAATTATGCATAACATCAGTTCTTTTCTTGACCCTTCTCCTCGTTCATCCTTTCAACCAGCGTTTCTTTGACTTTTTGCAAGGCATGTTCAAGGTTTTCCAGCTGCATAATTTTGGCAGTCCGTTAGTCTATCTTGAAGTCCTTGGTTAGTAGTTAATAAAGATTTAAAAATAAATCTTGATATATGTTTAAGCATTTCGCTAGCAGTTCCATACCTCCTGTCTGGCGAATCTGTTATACACGAATAATCCACTGAACAAATCAAAACTATTTCCTATCATGGTCTCCTTCTGCAAGTATATTTCAATTTGTTAAATAAGAGCGCATGTTGCACTGTGGCTAATGGTGTAAAAAAACGAAGGAAAGCTTTTAGAGAAATTAGGGAAATGATATAACAAGTGTACCAATTTAACAAGTTCCTGAAAGCCCTTGGTGTCGATAGGTGTTGATTTAATATCCATTTCTGCCAATGTTCTGATCAAGAAGCCGCAAAAGAGTTGCATACAGTGAGAATTTATGTATGTGTTTGTCGAATGTTTGTTAAGATAGGTGGAAGGCTACATACCTGCCAATTGTGTGGGTGATAAATTGGCTCTTCGCAGCTGCTTTGTCATGTTCCTCACAAGTCATTTCTACCATCTTGCAACCCTATTAAAAAAAATAGGAAATGGATCAATAAACAATAAATGTAAGAATTCACAACTGATTTTCTGGCTTCATTCGTGAACCACCCAACGGTGGTCCAAACTAATAGACTCTGTTCATACTAGTTACAGGGGAGAATTGAAGATTGAGTTGTTTACTAATTGATTTTTCAATAATGACCATGACCATGTTTATGAGAACTGATAACTTTATTCCATGATGGGGACATATAACCTTGCTTGTAGGAGTGTATAGATATATATCTTATATCTTGATTTATCAGATGCAGAGTCAACGTCTAAAGTTACTTAGCTTCCAAACTCTGTGTTTCTTTGTTCTTGATTAACATAATTAACCTGCCCCAGTGCAAAAACATGGTTCTTTCTTCTTCGGTTATTGATGGGTATTGTTGATAAAGGCTATTAACCTACCTCACTGGCAAATATTTGGATGAAACCAGAGCAGATAGCTTCATTTCTTATCCGAACTTTGTCATACATGAAAGTGAGACCTTTCCATCCATCCTTTCCAGTGACAGGTCCAAACATAGGGTGAGTGCAGAGAATGTCGTAGTGCACTGGCAACTCTCGTAGCAGAAGTTCTCTTGGGTGCTCTTTGACTGAAAGAACATCAACAAAGAGTGATGGGCGCTTCAGGGAAGCTAGTGGCATTGACCCCACAACCTCGGATAGCGATAATATCGATGTGCACAGCACTATGACATCTATGTCAGCAGCAAGGAACGCGCTGACATCCCTGCAACAACAACAACAATAATGTTTAACATACAAATGCAACATAAAAATGGTTTTTGTGGATCTAAGTGTCGCATTGGGAAAGTTGAGGTAAATGGGTGTAGCGATACAAACTAGACCACATGCATGGTATGTACATATTGATGTAATCTGAATGAAATTGAACTTGGTTTCTCTGAGAAAGGTTTTAATTCGAGTTTTGTGGATAAAACATGTGTGGTTGAAAATAGAAATCTTAAGTAGTCAGTGAGAATTTTGGAAGAAAACAGAAAAGATATGTGTATTAAGTTATTGTTTGGTTTACCTGTAAAAGTGAATGCCCATTTGGAGACAGAGATCGGAGTAATCGGATCGAGAAGTTGCAGAGAGAGAGTGGCCTTGTTTTATCATTGTCTTGGCCAGAAATTGGCCAAAGGTGCCGAATCCAACTATGCCAATTCTGAGGCTTTGGGAAGACGATGATGACATGGTTGAGTTGAGAATTAGATGAGAAACAAAGGTGAACGAGATAACTTTAGGAAAACAACACTGTCACAGGATTTCCTCTGCTCAATTAGGGCAAGGGTAACAGCGTATTTAATGCTCCTCTGTCACTTGTCATACACGTTTACGCCAATATCAAGCGTAACGCTATTATTTATTGTTTTATTATATGTAAGCCTTTTGCTCTTTCTCGCCAACTTTTTAAGCTAGCATCTTAAGATTCCTCACACTTTTCTTTTAAGAAAAAAAAAACACACCTTTATCTTCTACCGTATTTGATGTTTTCTTGAACAGAAACTGAATTTACTTGTTATAAGTTTTTCACAGCATGAAGACAACAAATGCAATTATTAAAAATAAAAAATAGGTATTTCATATGATTTATTTCCTATTAAAAGTATTAACTTTTTGTTTCTTAACAAAAATTGGACAAACCCAACTAACATAACACCCAAATTGCACTACTCAAAAGGGTACTTTTCTGTTTTTTAAGATTGTGAACTTGGTTATCGTGTCCCAACGAACACCTTTTAGAGCGATAAAGAAAACAGTTGTGAAAGGTGATTTATTTTAGGTACACGTTTGAGACACGACACGACAGGTCGACATCGCCTATTGCTTCCCCCACTTTCTCGGTATTCTCAACTTTCTTTCGCAGCAATAAAAAAATACCAACATATTATTGCTACGGTTATTCATGCGTAGATTTGCGCGAGAGAACCGTTTTATCCATTAAATTATAATTTTGCCCTTACTTTACTTTTGCTTAAATGCTATAATCAATTATAATTAACATGATAATCAGTTATGTTATATAAACATAATCAATTATATCATATAATGTGATAAAACAGTAATAGTAGTAATAACAATTTTAAATAAAAAAGTTGAATATATTTTTGTTTCTTAACTCAAGTAAAAATTAGATTTTTTTTTTGAAATTTTAAACTAATTTAATTCTTTATTTTTATAATTATGTTAATTTAATTTTTTTAATCAAATTTTATTAAATTTATTTAAAATTTTCAATACATTTATTAACTAATATTAAAAAAAATATATCAAACAATAAATGACTTCATTATAAATATATCAAACAATAAATAACTTCATTATTATCATGAAATATGTTTGAAACATTAAATAAAAATAATAAAATTTGATTAAACTAACTAAATTTATATATTTCTAAAATTGAGAAAATAAATTAATTCTAATTTTTATTTAAAGTTAAAATATAAAAACATATTTAATCGAATAAAATATAGAAAAAAAGTATTATTATGATTAAACTAGTTTATATTTTGACACCCTACTGATTAAAAAAGTAACCAGTTTAACTTGATTTTAATAATACACATGCATCCAAAAGTCAAACAAATTTATAAATAAAATGATATTATAATTATTATAAAAAAAAGTTTTCTAAGAGTTGTTTATCTAACTTCACTTGTCAAGTATCATTGTTTGACATTAATGAGTAATAATTTTAAATAAGAATACAAAAGTTACTAGATCCATATCCAAATTTGTTTCTAAGTTAATTGTTAGGTACTTATCACATAACTTAAGTACTTGTTTTCTTCATCATCTTTATAGAATGTCGCCCTCCAAAAAACATTTTGTAATAACGTGCTGAAGTAGGGTAGTGATAAAATAATAAAGTAATGTAATAATAGGATTATAAAGTAAAAGAGAATAAGTGAGACTGATAGAAGCAAAACTTGTACTTTCTTTTGTCACTATCCTCTTTCTTCCACTCTCTCATACATGGGTTTCCTTGCTTTCATCCTTTCTCTCAAATTCTTCTTCTAATTTCAATCATTTTAGAAATTAATCATATCATGGGATGGTTGGAGTGTCAATTAATGTTTTGGACTTATCAATTTTATTTTTTGATTAAGTTTAATTTTTTTATCTTTTTTTATTAAATTATATTTTTTCTCTCTCTTGCATTTGGCCTTCTAATTGCATTAACTTTTCTATCCTCTAGATGAATCTTCATCTATTTGTGGTCATAAAAGCAAATCTTAAATATTGATGAGATTTTTGTTGTGTACATAGAGTAATAAAGGAAAAATATTGTTAGGAATCTTCTTTAAAAATCATTTAGTTTCTTTTTAATTAAAAATGCTAACAGCAAGAAATGGGAAATTGAGGAAGTTCAATTGAATGAAATCATATTTGGTTAAGTTTTTTAAAGTAGTGGGTATATTATTAGTTTTGGTAGACTGATAGATAATTAGTTAAGTCACTCAATGGTAGTCGCTTAATATGTTTAGGTACAAACACTTTAGAATGTATTTAGTTATATTTTGTACCATATCATCTTATTAAAACAATATCAATACTGATGTGACCGAAGTGTACTCCATATAAAGTACATTATAATGTTTTA